CGTGCCGAGCGGCGCGGGCTGCCCGCAGCGCACGGGCGGCGGCGGCGCGGACTCCGCGTGTGTGGCGCTGACCCGCGGCCGCCCGAGCGCCTCCGCTCGCAGAGGTCGGACCTCGGGATGGGGCGCGACTGTGTAGTGCGGCGGATCGCGAGGAGTCGGTCGGCTTGGCGTTCCTTTGTGTGGGCTCAGCCGAGGGAGGAGAACGCCGCCGGTGTTTTGCGATAGTCCGAGAGCGTGGGGGGAGGACGGGCTGCCCTTGGAAGCCCCTCTGAAGTTAGACTTCTTGTACAGCCGTATCTTTAAGCGAAAAAGCGTCGGTAAGCAGCAAATTGACAGCGTGTGAGACCTGTAAGCAAATCCAGGCAGGGTGAAAACGTGTGGTCTGGCCACGGTGTGGCCAAAGAAATGGGAGATGGAAACCTGCAAGTGCTTGAGGGTCCACGGGGAAAAGAAACTGGAACTTTTTGGAGTAGAAGAGGAACGCAGTTACGGCTGACAAAGTTAAATTTCTCGTCTTGTTATTCTGTGGGTCAAAATGAGAAATAGCTCAAGAAAATGGGAACAATGACGTTTTGAAACATCATAACACCAGACAGATTCCTTAGCCTCATAAGCAAATCCTGAAAGATTTGAAAAACAGTCTTTTGCTATTTGGTTCGTCTGGAAATCTTTTTGTGAGCAATGTCTATCAGTTCCAGCTCCCCCAGTATCTGATTCAGAAAATAGATTTGCTGATTATGTGAATTTCAGTTGCCTGTCTTTATTTCAGTATTAAATCAAGTCTTCTTATAATCTATACTATAGGTACTTAAGCCCGCATGTTTGTAAGCTGTGTGTGGGCTGATGAGGGTAAGAACAAATTAATTTAGTGTACAGGAAAATGATGAAAGAATTTCCTCAGTGCTTCATGGCTGTTCTTTGCAGAAGTCCTTCATGAGATGTAAAACACAACGGTAACAGAGTAAGTGAAAACAGCCATCTGAACCTACACATGCTTGTCATCTCTGATTCTACAGGATGAAGAAACACGTAAAGATTATGATTACATGTTGGATCATCCTGAAGAGTATTACAGACACTACTATCACTACTACAGCAGGAGATTGGCACCTAAAGTGGATGTCCGAATAGTGATTCTCGTTACGGTGTGTGCCATCTCTGTGTTTCAGGTAAGATCTCACTTTCATGTGGCAACGCTCTGTGAATTTCTGAAATGGAAGAGAATCATCTGCAGGTCTTGTAGCATGCCAGCCTTCAAACAGTGCCAGCAAGGAGGTTCTTCTGTGGCTGCTGTGGCAAACTTGCCCCTGGCATCTGTAACAAATCTGCAGTCAGGGTGTGCCAAGCGGATTTTGTGCACTTGGTAGCTTTGTCAAAGATGCACAGTGCAATTAGTGATTGGCTTATTTACACAGTGGAGTATTTTGTACAGACTAGTACAGCTCTCCTAGAGTAGACACTTAGTTCTGCATGGCAGGCTGAGGACAGCCTGTTCCTGTGCACAGAGAGGGCTGGTGCTGCAAGGTGGGCGTCAGATTTTCAAGCTGTGTGAGGTTATTTTTTTTTAACAGGCCACTTGCAGTCTAAACTCAAAACTCAGTTTAGATGACAATACGAAGTACCAGTAGTGTTGTTTGCTAACGTGTGTATTTTATACAGTAGTTTACTTTAAACGGCAGATTAGTGAAGTTTCTTCACTAAGTGTGGTAGGTAGTTCCATTTTCAAGGAAACAGTCAGTGTTTTAGATGAGAAAACTTGTGCTTTTGCTGGCAATTACTTAACTGGAAGAAAGTATATAATTATTTTGTTTAGCATCCATTAGATTATTGATTCCAAACTTCCTTAAGGAAACTCCCAAAGTTGGTATTTAGGAGATGAAAATGCAGGTTGGTCTGTGGTACGGATAACTCTCTTTTTAATTGGAAGGCAAAAAAGCCCAACAAAACATGTTGATCAGATTTTGAGAGTTTGAAATAACACGTTCTAGTGGCATACTCAGCCAAATACGTAATTTTTCATCAGACTTACTTCTAATTACGGTTTTACATTTCACCTCTTATTTTGGCTATAAGTGGGAACACTCACTTTGCCTGTAGGTCACCTCCTAGATGATTAAATACAAGTTTACACTGAATTACAGAATCACAGAATCACCAAGGTTGGAAAAGACCTACAAGATCATGCAGTCCAACCATCCCCCAATCACCAATAGTTCTCACTGAACCGTATCCCTCAACACAAAATCCAAATGTTCCTTGAACACCTGTAGGGTCGGTGACTCCACCACGTCCCTGGGCAGCCCATTCCAGTGCCTGACCATTCTTTCAAAGAAGCAGTATTTCCTAACATCCAGTCTGAAACTCTCCTGGCGCAGCTTGAAGCCATTCCCTCTGGTCCTATCACCAGTTACATGAGAGAAGAGGCCGACCCCCAGCTCACTACAGCCTCCCTCCAGGTAGTTATGGAGAGCAATGAGGTCTCCCCTGAGCCTCCTCTTCTGCAGACTGAACATTCCCAGCTCCTTCAGCCGCTCCCCATAAGCCCTGTGCTCCAGACCCCTCACCAGCTTTGTCGCCCTTCTCTGAACACGTTCCAGGGCCTCAATGTCTTCCTTGCAGAGAGGGACCCAAAACTGGACACAGCCCTGGAGGTGCGGCCTCACCAGTGCTGAATACAGGGGACAATCACTGCCCTGTTCCTGCTGGCAACGCCGTTCCTGATGCAAACCAGGATGCCATTGCCTTTCTTGGCCACCTGGGCACACTGCTGGCTCATGTTCAGCCGAGCATCAATCAACACCCCCAGGTCCATTTCCTCTACGCAGTCTTCCCAAGCCTGTTTTTGAATTAGCAAAATTAGCTGTTCTGAATTAGCAAACTGATTTGCTTTTCTCTTGCTTATTGGTGTTTGTGCTTCTCTTGTTAAGAATATGAAGAGTGTACTTGCCTGCTCTGTTGTTTTCACAAGTGGGCATGCTGCTGTTAAAAAAAAAAAAGGCACAAAATGGCATGTTCATCTCAAACGTTATTTGTATTGTTCTTTTTTCCCACTTGAAATTCAGAGGGTAGCTCAAGATTAGAGTGAGGTATTGAATCTTGTAAAGTCAATCCTGTCCAACTAACAAGATTGTCATGTAAGTAAGCTATGGTTAATTAACTATGTAAAGTGGGTAATAATTTTATAATGAAATGCTCATATGCCGGACTTCTGATCATGGCCACCACAGCCCAGTGCAAGCTTCATTTGAAGCAGTGGGTGATAACCATCTTCTCATGAGCAAATCCAGTGTGAGCAATGTCTTTCTTCACACTCTGCTTGACCTTCTTTGCCACTGTATATTTCTGTGTGATAAATATGCATCACACATACATACATGTTCTGTGCATATCACGCAGCAGTATGCATATTAGTTATGTCTGTTTCTCAGGTTCCTTGTCAGGTTTGGAGCAATAATTACAGGTTCTACAGAAGCTGTGCTGTTGCCTTTAGTTTTCACCGTCACTGTAATACAATTGTGGTTAAAGATTTAATAAAAGATTTATTTTTATTTTAATAAAAGATTTATTTTTTAAAGATAAAATTGTGGATAAAATTGTTCTTAACATGAGGCAGCAGTGCGCTCTGGCAGCTCGAAAGGCAAATGGGATCCTGGGCTCCATCAGGAGAGGGGTGGTCAGCAGGGACAGGGAGGTGATTGTCCCTCTCTACTCGGCTCTTGTGAGGCCCCATCTGGAGTACTGCGTCCAGGTGTGGAGCCCTCAGTACAAGAAAGACATTGAGATTTTGGAAAGGGTCCAGAGGAGGGCGACTAAGATGATCAGGGGGCTGGAGAACCTCCCCTATGAGGACAGGCTGAGGGAGTTGGGCTTGTTCAGCCTGGAGAAGAGAAGGCTGCGGGGTGACCTCATTGCAGCCTATCAATACCTGAAGGGAACCTACACCCATGAGGGGAGTAAACTCTTCAAAAGGGCTGACAACAGCAGGACTAGGGGAAATGGATCGAAGTTGAAGGAGGGAAGATTGAGGTTGGATGTTAGGGGGAAGTTCTTTACAAGGAGAGCGGTTAGGCCCTGGAACGGGCTGCCCAGGGAGGTTGTGGATGCCCCGTCCTTGGATGTGTTTAAGGCCAAGCTGGACGGGGTCCTGGGCAACCTGATCTGATTGTGTATGTTTGGTGGCCCTGCTAGGCAGGGGGGTTGGAACTACATGATCCTTGAGGTCCCTTCCAACCCGGGTGATTCTGTGATTCTGTGATTCTGTGTAAAGGTATACAGCAGCATATTTTATTCTGGCAAAGCTCCAAATAGAAATGTGTCCATATCAAAACATGGCTTTTATTGCCTTTTTTTTTTTTTTTTTTTTTTTTTACTGTTCTTAAATTACAGTTCTTCAGCTGGTGGAGTAGTTACAATGAAGCTATCAACTATCTAGCTACAGTGCCAAAATACCGTATACAAGCTACTGAGATTGCCAAGCAACAAGGTTTACTCAACAAGACCAGAGAAAAAGGCAAGAACAGGAGGTCTAAAGAAGAAATTCGTGAAGAAGAGGAAGAAATCATCAAAGACATTATTAAAAATAAAATAGATATAAAAGGCGGTTATCAGAAGCCCAAGATATATGATATCCTTCTGTTTCAAATCCTTCTAGCTCCTTTCTACTTGTGCAAGTATGTAATTTGGTACTGTTGGTGGATTTATTGTTTCACTATTAAAGGCCAAGAATATGGTGTAGAAGAGAAGCTGTATATCATACGGAGATACATGAAAATGTCTCAGTCTCAGTTTGACAGCCTGGAAGATCATCAAAAAGAGACCTTTCTTGAGCGGCAGCTGTGGATACGAGAAAACTATGAGGTGAGTGGCCGGGGAGGAAGAGATAATGTTAGTTATGCACCGTTCCCAGAGTAAGAGCAGGTACCTTAAGGTCTTTGGAACAGTGATGGGGGAAGTCCTGCTTCAGTTCTAGCTGTTACTGTCTACATTTGAAATGGTTAGAGAAGCACTTGGTTTGTTTTCTTCATCATCTTATGTTCACTTGCTGATAGGCAGCAGCTCCTGGACATGCCCATTGATAAAAGAAGGGATTCACTTGCTTAGGAGTTGAATCCACCTGTGACAGTCAGCCAGTCTGTGAATACAAGGTTAATTGGATCTGATGACAGGCTGTCCTGTGACCATGTGACATAATAAAGTTCTTGCAGTACGTTAAAGAGCATGGTTCTCCAAATAATAATAATTTTGTAGTGAAGACTACCTGGATCACCTGAAACTCCTGTTTTATTAGTCTCCTGAGCCATGAATTCCTAGCTTGTTTTTGATAACTATCCCTTTTATAACTATTCTTTTGCTTCCACTGAGTCTGAGTCTGAGGCTGTTCTTTCTGTGCTGTGTTCCAGCTTAACTAAAAATGGTATATGAAATATCACAAGGCACAACTGCTGCTTCTTTCCTGGGATAGCCAGTTACAAAACAGCAAATACATAATTTTTCTCAAGCTTTCTGTGAGAGCAATGAAAGAGCATGAGCCCCAGCATGTAATTTGCATTCCAGACAACTTGGGGTGCCAGGAGGTGGCAGACTGACAAAGCACTCTTACTGTTGTATTGAAGCTCATCTGTGGGCCATCTGGGTAGGAGACTTCCAGAAGTGAAACTGAGAAGGAGGATTTGTCCTGCCCAAAAGATGTTGCTGCAGCTTGCCTTCTCCAAAAAAAGATGGCAGAACTGCTTTTGCTTCTGATGAGAGGCACCATAGGGAATATCACCTTGAAAACAGTCAGAACTGGATTAGTTTAGAAACTTGAAGAGAAAAATGCTAGAATTGATGCTAATATAAGGAGAGGAATAGCCATCAGATTAGCCATGCATGTAGAATTAGATTAGGTTTTCTCGAAAACAATCTGAAAGCTTGAAGATCTAGTAATGTTAGTAGTCAAAGCAGATGTCCTAAGGAAAATGTAGGGTAGAATAGGTATTCTGTTGCAGAGAAAACGTTTCATGGTTTGAGTTGCTGCTTCTAACTGCTGTTTTGTTCACTGAGTGTAAAAGAGCTGTGTTTATAAGAGGGAAGTCTCTTTAGCCCAAAGTCATCTGTGGTGGCCAGCAGGTGATTTTTAGTGAAGAATACAAGAAATTTGCACCCATGTAGCAGTATTTCCCCCTTGCAATCTGCAACTTTGGAACTTCCTGAACAGGAAATGGTGCCTTTGTAGTTTACATCTTTAATTAGTTTTTCTTCAGTAAACATACCTAGCTATTCCTTGGTTGCATTAAAAAGTTCAGTGTTTGCATTGCTATCTGGTTGTGAGTTCAGCAGTATCTTCAGAGAATAGATATATATATATTTTAAGGCCCCAGACACCTGCTGGTTATATGGAGAATAAACTGTAGGGAGAAATAATCATTCCTCTTATGCTGCCAGTTCTTCTCTGTACCACTACTATAGACTTACTAAAAGACTCAGTCTTGTCTTTTCAAGGCTGAAAATAGCTTATATGTTACTTTTGTTATAGCAGCTGCCTGTCTGCATATTTAGTTTTTTCCAATGTCCTTCTGGGAATGAGTGGGAATTCAATATATTGGCACATTGTGAAGCTCAATAAAAACATGTTTTCTTCTGTTGCTTTCCTGGTAATTTTTAAAATCTGCATGATCACTGAACCTTGAGCTTGTGTATTTATACAGTCATCAGGAATATTTAAAAAAAAAAAAAAGGCTCTTTCAAAATCTTTGCTTACAGGTAGACTTCAGATTACATAAACATAGTATCTTGTTGAAATATAGTGCATGTATCTATGTGATCTGCTGTTCAACATACTGTTGCCTGTTTTAGATACATGACTGCTATTGAAATCTACAGATATCAGCAATGACACTTTTTCTTGCCATATTTTATATACTTGTCATCCCTACCATCAATACTTACTACAGAGATTCTAACTTAAACTGAATTAGAAAAAAGAAGGTTTATTTCTGTCTAACTGAAGGTGAAAAATAAAATAAAAGTGAGAAGCTAAGCTGTGTTGAATGGTGCGTGTGCTGCACTGAGATTCAAACCAGTTCTTTACTGGCAAATTTCATTTTGTTGACTGCAGGGCATTTAGTTCTTTGTCAAAACAAGCAAACAGTAAAATTGTGCTAGCCATTACAGCACAGTCTTGCAACAAAGTAGTTCTGCTGTCAGCAGAAATCCAGAGCATCTCAACTACAGCTTCTAGGCTCCTTGCTGAAGGCTCGTACACCACATGTAGGTCGTGGTCTTTTGCTTGTCGCTTTTCACCTTTCTTTGAAATCAAGGTGACAGAGGGTTGAAGTATTACTGTTTACACCTCTCTTCAGGTTCTCTTAAGATTTTTCTTCAGCTTTACTAAAAACTTCTGTCTTTCAGGTCTATAAACAAGAACAAGAGGAGGAGTTAAAGAAGAAGATGGCCTTGGATCCCCGATGGAAGAGGTATCGGAGGTGGATGAGAAATGAAGGACCTGGAAGACTGACTTTCATTGATGACTGAAAGTTGCTGAACACAGTGCGTGCTGATGTCGGCAGTGATCTGCAAAACTTTTTGCTACATCATTCAGAGTTTTATCTGCTGGTTTGGCAGTGATCTAAAACTCAGGAATTATTAAATGAGGCCGAAAAATAGTACAGGTTTACGGTTTTTATAAATCAGAATTATTAAACAGGCATAACTCAATGTGTATATCTTACATGGGGATCTTAATGTGGAATTCATTATTTCAAATAATGTATTTCCTCTACATATTTCCTTCTCATGATCAATGGAATCATAATTTCAATCTTCCTGAAACTGTTTCTTGATCTGTCCTTGGAAGTCTCGGTTCTTGATTCTAAACCGAAGGGTTCATGCGAGTGAACACTGGAAATTGAAATTGTTGGTAAGGACTCTGAAGCAAGGGCCATTTCTTACTTTCCTCTTCTCTTCCACCTACTTTTCAACTTACTTTTTAAAATGCCAAATTGTTTTTTGATGTAGACAAAATGGGGATTATACCAGACTACTTCTTTTGCTATTCCCTCTCCAATTGGAAATGAATTTTATTCTTTGTGGGAATAAATGATGCATGATTGATCACCGTTATGGTGCAAACCAGCCTTAATTCTTTGTTCTGCAGAGTGGTTCACGAAATAGCATACTTAAGTCACTTGCGTTTGGTTTTTAATCTTGTACATTAGATTGTACCTACATGTTCAGAACAAGCGTACCAGTGAATACTAGTCAACTAAATGTGAAACTTCTTTCACCAAAGTATTGGTAAAGGGAAAATGACCCTTTGTTTAAAAGGGCAATCTTGATGCCTTATGTAAATAAAAGTTTATATAATATACATCCTGGATTTGTTTTAAATTTAAACCTGAAGTATTCTTTATCCCTTCTGATTCTTCTGATCAGACATCAGCGTACTTAGAACACAACAGTTCCCTTTGCTTCCGTCTGTAACTGAAGCCAAGTCAGAGTTTCCACGTTTCCAGGTTATGATTTCCGTATTTCTACTCGAAAACTTTACTGGGGAAAAAGTACTCAGGGTTTGCAGCCAGATTGGGCTGCTTCTGTCTCTTCTCATGTCTGTGAAATCTGTATCTGTGCAGGTTGGTTCTGGGAGAAGGTCTCTTAAACTTGCCGCTGCTTCCAACGCTTGTAATAGCTAGAAGTTTTGAAGTGCTTATAGACCAATTTTTGAATTAAGACAATTCTGATTCTGCCAAGATGAGCAACCAATCATAGAATCATTTAATTTGAAAAAAACCTAAGATCTCCAAGCCCAACCATCAACCTGACCTACTGAGTTCCATAAGTAAGCCATTCTCTTCAGTGTTCGCTTGCCAGTTCCACCACCTTCCTGTGTAGTCAGACTGAAGAAATTCTTTCAGATATCCAGAAAGATCTAAACCTCTCCTAGTGCAGCTTCAGGCCACTACCTTGCATCCTACTGCTTGTCACGTGAGAAAAGAGGCTGTCATCCACCTTGCTGCAGTCACATTCTCAGGTATCTATAGAGAGAGATGAGGTCTTCCTTCAGCCTCCTCCAGACTAAACAACCTACGCTTCATACATCTTCTTTTCCAGTCCCTTTACCAGCTTAGTTGCTTGCCTCAAGCAACTCAACATCCTTCTTACAGTGAGAGGCTCAAACAACACAGTATTCAAGATGTGGTCTCACCACAAGGAGGCAATCCCTTCCTTAGTCCTACTGGTGATGCTGTTTCTGATTTAAGCCAAGATGCAATCAGCCATCCTGGCCACCTGATTGCATTGCTAGCACATGTTCAGCTGAGCATCAATCAGCACCCCCAGGTCCTTTTCTTTTGGGCAGCTTTTCAGATACTCTGCCCCTCGCCTGTACCTCTGCGTGGAGCTGTTGTGAGTCACGTGCAGAGCCCAGCACTGAGCCTTGTTGGGTGTCATGTGGCTGGTCTCAGTCCATCAATCCAAGCTATCCAATGCAGATTCCCCCTACCCTCCATCAGATCAACAGTCCAGTCCAATTTGCTGTCCTCTGCAAACTTCCTGAGGGTAGACTCAATCCCCTTGTCCAGATTGTTGATAAAAATGTTAAACAAAACTGTCCCCTACACTGAACCCTGGGGAACACCACTGGCGACTGGCCACCAGCTGGACTGAACTCCATGATCTCCGATCATTCTCTGTGATTCACTACGGCTCTTTGAGACCTGCCAGCCAGCCAGAACTTCACCCAGTGAACTGTGCACCTGTCCAAGCTGGGAGCAGCCAATTTCTCCACGAGGATGCTGTGGGAGATGAGGTGTCAGATGCTTTACTGAAATCTAGATAGATAGCATCCACAGCCTGTCCGTCATCTGCTAAGTTGAGCCACCTTGTCATAGAAGGAGGTCAGGCAAGACCTGCCTTTCACTAAACCTATGCCAGTTATTTGCAATCACTTCATTGTCCCACATCCTTTGAGGAAGACCTTCACTTCTTGGTGCCTCTTCTGCTAATTTAGCTCTCAGTAGTTTTTGGGACGTTATCTCAGTTTTGTGTTTGAAATAACATATATCCAAAAATATGTCAGAAGCACTATCCTGAATGGCTAACTTCCATGTGCATTTCCAAAATTCAAAGGAAGTTTCTAGTTTTGTCCTTAATCTCTGCTGCCATACAGTGCTGCTGTAAGCATAATTCAATCTATACTTAAAGGTCAAACCAAGTCTTAGGTTTGTTAAAGAAAACGTTCAGAATAAGTCATGCTTGTTCTCAGGAAATAACCTTATTGGCCTTGTAGTGATGTTCCAGAGACACCACAAAGATGTTTGTCAAGTTGGACACCTTCACAGCTTGGATGTAGTACTTCTTTTTCCACAACATATTCAGCCTCCTGCAAGAGTGGAGAAGAAAAAAAAATTGTAGTTTCTGTTGCAAATACAAAGCAAAAATGAGTACAAATGAGTGAAACAGTGCTGCTTACCCAGTAAGGTCAGGCAGTTATCTCTGCAAAAGAAGCCAGCAGTGTACCTCTATGTAGACACAACTTCACAGGCAAAGAGCTATCAGCTCAGCTGCTCTCACACTAGTTTCCACCCGTCGTACCATAGAAAAGTGTTTGTGTGATAAGATGGGTCACAGAAATAAGCAGGCAAGACCCAAATCACAGATCTATCTTCCCCCTTTTTAGGTTAGTTCTGACCAAGATTAATTTTCTGACCTGATCCTGTAGCAATTAAAAGGTGCAATGGCAGGGCATTCCGAGGGAGGACAGAACCGTGTCTTTCAGCAGCAGTAGCACCTTGTTTTTGTAAAACGATGGCCCGAAATCAAGTGCAGAAGGGAAAATCAGCAGGTATTCTGCTTTGGGTGGAAAAGAGCCATTGCTCTTTTGTGGTGTTGATTCTGAATTTCTAATTTTCTCTACACATGAGCCCATTGAAAATACCTAGACAGAGGCATAAGCTCATGGATTGCAGGCAGAGTTTGCTGGGCTGTGCCATTTACATTTCTGTGATAGAGGCCAAAAGAAACAATTGTCTGTCACAGAGCTGTCAGGTTGCAGTGACACGTTAGCTGGGTCACTAATCACTTATAGCCTGAAGTCTTATTTTAGTTCTAAATATATGCACCTTAGTCACATATTTTAGGCCCTATTTTATCTTGAAATTGAGTCCACAAAGCAATATCATACACAGATTGAGAAAAGTGCAGTGATAGCACTGACAGTAGTGTTATTATGCCTTGTGAATCCAGCATAAGTGGACTTTGAAGGGAACTGCCTGCATGAACAGGAACTGACCATGCTGCATAGGGTGAGGTCTTGTGAAAGTGTGTGTCTAACAGAACAGAACAGAATGGAATGGAACAGAACAGTTCTGTTGGAAGGGACCTTCAAAGAACATCAAGTCCAACTGCCTGAGCACTTCGGGGCTAACCAAAAGTTAAAGCATGCTACTGAGAGCATTCTCCAAATGCCCTTTGGCCACTGGTAGGTGTTGGGCAGTAACCGCCTCTCTCGTGTTTGACCACCCTCACGGTGAAGAAATTTAGAAATTTAGTGAGAACTGTTGGTAATAGGTGGATGTGGATGGCTGGACCGGATGATCTTGTAGGTCTTTTCCAACCTTGGTGTTTCTGTGATTCTGTGAAATGCTTCCTTATGTTCCGTCTGAACTCCCCAGCGCAGCTTTGCGCCGTTCCCACGCGTCCTGCTATCGGTTCTTAGGAAGAACAGACCGGCACAACGGCATCTCGAAGGAAAAAAGTCGGAGTCGCGGATGGAAGGTGGAGATCACCACACGAGGATCGCTTAGGGGGGCGGAGCGGCGGCGGCCCCTCCTCCGGGCGGCTCCCGCAGTGCCGGCAGAGCCGAGCCGCACCGCACCGCACCGCACCGCACCGCACGGATCTCCTCCGCTCCATCCCGTTCCTGCCTGCCCCGTCATGTCATCGGCCGGCAGCCTGAGCACCATGCAGCGCCTGGTGGAGCAGCTGAAGCTGGAGGCCGCCGTGGAGAGGATCAAGGTGAGCCGGGCCTCCCGGGGGAGCAGAGGAAGCTGCGGGGGAGCTGCGGGGTCTCGGCGGGGCCGGGCGCGGGCGGCGGTGCGCGGAGAGCTCTCTGTCCGGGATTCGAAGGGTGCCCGGGCTGCGGGGGCTCCGAGTCCCTTCCGCACCCGCGGGGAAAGAGCCGCTCCCCGGCGGGAGGCCGTGATGAATAATGGAGCAGCTCCGCGTTAGTTCTGCTCCGACGGGCACGTTGCTCTGCAGCCGCGCCCCACAGCTTCCCTCTGCCCCGCGCGGGGTGTTTTCGTACCGGCTGACAGCTTGGGACACAGATTTTCTACGCATGCATGAACCTTCTGCATATCTCCAGACAAAGACAGGCCAGTGAGGCAACCCCGTTATCTGTCTGCTCCGATATTATTTCTTTCTTCTTGTTTTTTGTTTTTTTTTGTTTTGTTTTGTTTTGTTTTTTTCCTGTGTCAATCCAAATGCAGCCCTGCAGTGCTGCCTTGGTTCCCAGCAGGTGCAGGGTCCACAAGTTCTTCTGGGATATTATTTCTTTTTCTTTTTACACGTAAAATACATCGAAGGCTACAAGGTGATAAAAGTCTATTTAATCCGCATCCTGTACTTCCCCCTGCCCTCACCACCTCTGTGCATTCTCCATTTTTCTTTGGCCAGTTGCAAAACACTGACTTGCATAGCACTGGACTAAGTTCATGGGCTTACAAATGATTTTGGATTCCTTTTCTCACTGCTCCTGCCCTGGGCTGCTGAAAAGTCCAAGTGTCCGTTGCACCACATTGAGCACTGAACAATGTTGCCTTAACTGATTTATTAATGCTACTAAATGTTATTAGTGACCAATGAGCTTGCAGGTACGCTGAAAGTGGCCACAGATCCTCCTGGCTGTGTGTGGGAATCTCTGAGAAATGACACAGTGCAGAACAGAAATGCTCTGTGACAAGGGGTCCCGAAGAGAAATGGCTGACTCATCACTGCTGTTATTTTAGACCACCAGCATCATCTCTCTGTCATGCCTCATTTTGAGGCATATTACAACTCCCCCCCACATACAACTCCTTGTTCAGGTGGCTACAGCCAATACAGTTTATTGTTTAAGTGGGATT